ATCTCTCTCAAGTTCAATGAGGGATTTTATTCATATAATATAGCTAAATATTACTCAAATTGTGAAAGTGCATTTTGACATGAAGATCAACATTTTTAAATGAAAATTACCGGTTACTCAACACTTCATATATTCAAGTTGCTTTGCATACTCTTAATTCTAGTACCGTTTTACGTGAAAGTCAACATTTATAGATAAAGACTCCTGGTTACTAAGTACAAGAACCATTGAAGTAGAACAATTCTTATTCTTTTTTTTTCTTTTTTCTTTTCTTTTCTTTTTTTTCTATTTTTATTTTTTTTCAAAGTAAAAATAATAATAATTCCCTCAAAAGAATAATCATGAGAAGAGTATTATAATTATTGACCATATTTATTACTCAACTATGTAAAATCAAGTAGGGAGAAGAAATTTCATTTAATTCAAAGCTGTCACCTGAGTGTGTAATCATGTAAAAACTAGGAAGTGTTGTCCTCGTTAAAGAACCAAAATATTAGAGGATTTCAACATTCAAGTAGAATCAAACAAGATTTCATTTGATAATTCACTTAAGTCAAAACCTTCATCTAAGTTACCATCTACCCCAGTCTTTTGAAGAGAAGAATAGAAGTCCTAGAGACTATTTGGACAAGAAACAAAATCGCAGGTTAGGACTTAATTATAAGAGGCGCCCACGCATCGCGCGAATGAAGGGGAGGGTTAAAAAAGGGGCACGTGACAACTGTGAAAACACGTGAAAATGAAAACATTCCTTGGCTCTTTTGTTACTCATGTAGATAAAATTATTACTAATACTTGTTTCAAGTATAGTTCACCTGATTTCACATAGTTGGAACCTTGGAAAATCACTTTCTCTTTGTACCAATATGAACTAAAGTTTAGAATGAATTGGAAAATTGTATTTGTTTGTAGTGATTTTTTTTTTATTGGCAACCTTAAAGAGAGAGAAATAGTGATGAATTGATGTTTGTTGATTGACATGAAAGATATGGCTGGGTGGCGGTTTGTATATCTTCTAGGTGACTATATATGAACATAATTTACTTTAATTTAATTTAATGCATTTTCTTTTCCCATCCCATCCCCCTCCCCCCCCCTCTCCCCAAAAAAAGTTGACTTGCTTGCAATGTCAGTGGAAAAATATATTTAAACTTATTTGGCGATTGAATACATTTCCAATATATTTTATCCCTTGTATTTATTTATCATGTAAGTGGATACATGATATGAGTTTGGCCCAGCCTGATTAAGACTTAAAACTTCAATTTCTTTTTACGAGTAAAAAAATGAGCCACACATTTGTTAACCTTATTAAATAGAACTTGAGCTCAAGAATATAATCTTTGACATGAGTTAAACCCATGAATGACAACTATGCAAAATTTGAATTTAAAATTTAACTTTTGCATATGTGTCATAGATCTAACGGTGATAGTGTATACATTGTTAGTATATATAATATTTACACTTTATAATTTATTTCCCCAGCATATACTTTAATACTCAGTTTACCCTAGAATCTTTTTTTTTGGTGTCACCTTAATCTATGGTGAGACAAAATTACCTTTCCATTATGTTGATATTTTCTCTTTTTCCTTCTCTCTTTTCTTTTTTGTCAAATTAGTTTTCTATTTTAAAATTTTTTTGGACAAATAAAAAAATCCATTAGTTTCCTTTTCTATGATTTATATTTGTCAAAGAATCAAATTTTAATTGAATTTACATTCTATTATCATTTTCTAACATGTAGCGATTTCTACTATAACTTGTAACTCTTTTATTTTGTGTAATCCATCTTAACTAAAATTTTGGATGTCTATTCTCCAATTTGCAAGTATGAAGAAGCTACAAAATTAGTCAATGACCAATCGATTGCATTCCAATTAATTTTATTAATTTTCAATCTAGGAAATTAAAGAAAAAATTTATTCTATATCCTTATTATCAGACAATTCAAAATAAATTATTCGTTTTGTACAATCACATTCACATGCTGCTTATTTAAACATCTTTTTTATTCCTTTTTCCTCTAATGTATTTATGCTTATTAGATTCTTTTCTTTACCATTTTTTCAAAAGTTATCAAATATTAATATATATGCTAATAAATCTACTTCTCTCCTTCGACCTTTACCACTAACTTAGAGTAATCAAAAATAAATCATGGGTTAAAATTAACTGAGAAAAGAAAAAAGAAAAAAAGAAAAAATTAACATAATAAAGAGGTAGTTTGTTTCGCAAGAGTTAAGTAGTATAGGAAAAAAGATTAGGGATTAAAGTGAAAATCATGGTATTCTTAGGTAGATTAAAGCCTATCTATAAATTCTGACTTCATTAGACACCTATCTATCTAACTTCATTAGGGATTGACAAGCCTATCTATAGATTATAACTTCATTAGACACCTAAAATGCAAACCCTATATAATTATGTCATTTCGAGAGCAAGTCTTTTTTTTTTTTTTGGATAAAAAGCAAATTTCATTAGCATATTGCTTGAAATCATTCAGTTAGATTTGATTTGCATCACTGCTCTAATGGTAAGATAAACATGCACTAGAAATTACAAATATGTAGTTTAACAAATACAATAGATTTAAAAAATTTTAAATTAGATTTAAAAAATATAAGAAATTTCAAAATTGTCTTCTAATAGATAAGTTAATGTAACTCTCTTCTATGCATATTGCAATGTCCATATCTGCTAGTCAATGGTTTTAAACTCAAATAATGAAGATGAGATCTGTCACAATAGAACAAAGATCCAAAAAGATTTGAGAAAGATTTGATTTATATTGCTGCTCTAATGGTAAGATAAACATACACTAGTAATCATATATCTATAATTTAACAAATGTAATAGATTTAAAAAATTATGAATTATATCTAAAAAATGTAAGAAATTTCAAAATTGTCTTCTAATTGATAAATCATTGTAACTCTCTTCTGTACATGTTACAATCATTAGATTTGTTAGTCATTGGTTTTGAACTCCAATAATGATGATAAAATATGTCAAAATAGATCCAAGATCCAAAAAATTTCATATCTAACAATCAAATTTGAAATAAATTCATATTTAACAATAAAATAAGGACAAAAACACAAAAATCCCCATGGGAATTCCTAGTATAACAGAAAAATTTCCCTAAGAATCACTAAGAGAAACATCAAACTCCACTTAGGAGAGACTTTGTTAGAAAAATAAAACAAAACGAAATTCATGGGTGTGATCTCCCTCCCAATGGGACTATCTTTGAAAAGAGGAGAAGTAAAGAGAAGTTGTAGTAGAAGAGCAGACAAAGAGAAGAGAGTTCCTATTGGATTTACTATGGCCTCCCTCCCTATGGGTAGATTTTCGAAAATAGGAGAAAAATTAGTGAGAAGTTGGATGAGAAGAGAGATAGAGAGGAGTTCCAATTGGGTTCGTAACTTAGTGCATTTGGAAAGTAAGTTGAACCAAGCATTGATTGGATAATTGAGAACCAAATATTTGTTAACTAAACGTGACCATCTATTAATCAAAAGAGGAAAAAAAGCAAAGAGAAGTCGACAAGAGGAGAGATAGAGAGAAAAGGAGTTCCTATTGCGAGTTCGTAACTTAGTGCATTTGGAAAGTAAGTTGAACCAAGCATTGATTGGATAATTGAGAACCAAATATTTGTTAACTAAACGTGACCATCTATTAATCAAAAGAGGAAAAAAAGCAAAGAGAAGTCGACAAGAGGAGAGATAGAGAGAAAAGGAGTTCCTATTGCGAGTTCGTAACTTAGTGCATTTGGAAAGTAAGTTGAACCAAGCATTGATTGGATAATTGAGAACCAAATATTTGTTAACTAAACGTGACCATCTATTAATCAAAAGAGGAAAAAAAGCAAAGAGAAGTCGACAAGAGGAGAGATAGAGAGAAAAGGAGTTCCTATTGGGCTCGCAACTTAGTGCATTTGGAGAATAAGTTGATCCATTGGATTGATTGGATAATTGACAAAACAAAGTGCATTTGGAGAATAAGTTGAACCATTGGATTGATTGGATAATTGACAACAATAGGACATGAGTCACATGACCATCTATTGACTGGATGCTTGTGCACAAATTTTAAACACATACCTTGAGACATTTGTTAGAAAAACCAAACTATCAAGGAAACATATGAAGTCGTACACGGATGAGATAATTTTATATTCATCCACAATGGGACTCTCAAATTCAAATTTCAAAATTATCCACAGTGGGACTCTGAAATTCAAATTTCAAAATTTTATAAAGTGTATTGCAAGATATATAATACTTTATCAAATGACAAAACGAAAGAATATGTCAAGTGTTTTGTTGACGGTCATCTCATCTTTGAGACTCCATTCATCGCATCCAATGCCATTTTTCTTTCTTTCTTTTTTTGGGTGAGAATCAGATGCTAAATTGCCAGCAGTCGCAGGTGATACTTTGGCCCTTGAAACTTTGGCAAGGCACAAATACATCTTTAGTTCTCAATGTCTGACACTTGTGCTGTTTTAGTCTCAAAGGATTCGACAAAAACAAATATAGAACCCAGTGTTTGGCACCTGCGTGATTTTTATCTCTAAAATTTGGTTCAGCAAAAATAAATTTGGTTCTAAATATTTCCAATTTGAAGCATATTTAGAACGATTGATGGATTTTCTCCAATTATTGATTTCTCCACACGTACCATCACATACTCTTTTTTTTTTTTGCACGAAACAAATGATTTATTCAACAACATAGTGTAGTATTATTGTTCCTAAAATACACTCTCTCAATCACGGTTCCTATAACAGAGCTTTAGCACATTTTGTAGTCGTTTCTTCGATGGTGGGTTACATTTCCCCTTCTTTCTTCTGTTTCCTTTGTGTGTGTTTTTTTCCCCTTTATAGTGATCGGTGGAAAAATGGAGTCATGTGTGATTTGATTCTAAGAAATCATATCTACATCAGACATCGCAGCTGAATTAAGGAAAAATATACAAATCCCCAGATCACACGCCCTTGCCCACAAATGCCTCCAAAGCACGTGCAACTGTCAAGGCGGGAGCTAAAAAAGTAGAACCACCACTAAGATGATCAACAAGAAAACAGAAAATGCCATTGCGGCTATTGCAGATGCGGCAAGCCCAGCTCGTTCTCTAGGATCCTTTTTGTAGTAATTACCAAAATACAGCAATGTGGCATAGTACCACATTATTGGGCAAACAAATCCTAATAGAAATGAAAACCACCCAACTCCACAGCCAAAACAGGGTAATGGCTTGTCATATATGCTTGGTTGGAAGTCATCTGCATCTCTGATCAGGGTATATTTACCCTTCTCACGGTCAGTAGCATCTGCCACTTGCCCTTTAAAAATTGAATAATATCGGGCTGATGGTCTCAAAAGATCAAGATGCTTATCTGAAACTGATTTCACCAATTCAAGGCCACTTTTTACATCTCCCTCCTCGATAGTAATATTTTGATCCATGTGTAGTTTTCCAAAGCAAAATCGCCTAACAGTCAGTTGTCACCTCTACAACACCTGCTTTTATGGAGTTTGAGCTGGGGAAGCGGCTATTTGGAGTAGTTGAGCTCCAATTCGTGATGAAGGGACAGGAGACTCAGGGGTCGTTTGGAGTTGGAAGAGGAGACGAAAGAGGAGTCCAATTTCTTTTGATTTATTTTCTGTTTAAAATTAATTGTTGACGCTGACTATTATGCATAGTATGTACAATCACATACTCATTAAATTGAATGTTACATTAAAAAAAAAAAAAGTAAAACTAGGGATGACAGCGACCGAGTACCCTTAAAAATCTCTCGTACCAAATCCTAACCCACGTATCTAAAATTTTTACCAAATCCTATAGAATAACCCTGCGGGTTTTAATTCTCATTACTTTTTTTGATAATAAATAGAATAATTTTATTAATCATGGGTTTTTAGTTCTCATTACTAAACCCTCTCGTTTCTGGTTCAGATTATCTATCGAGTGCCCTTTACTCACTAATCTGAATAATTAAAAAGAGAGAGAGAATTAGTTTTTATCAAACAAAAATCAATACATCTCATGTTAAATCAACACGTTCCATTAAATAGATCATAAAGAAATTTAACATTTTATAAAAGGTAAATTTAACAGTCTTCTAAACAAGAAGATTTAAACAACTATCCCATATTTTCCAACAAGTAATTGTATAAAAAGCATGACAAATAACAATATACAAGACAAACATATGTGCCAATTGAATATAAACTAAAGGGAATAAGCAGGTTTTATAGAAGTATTAATTCCTCGACACACACACATACACATACACACACATATATGGGTTTATGTTTGTCTTTTATATATATACCTAATGCACGCACACACAAACATATGTTTGTATATATACCTAATGCTTTTATGTGTGTGTGTGCGCGTATGTGTACGTGCTAAACCCTATCAAATTATTTGTTGGTAACCCCTCATCAATATCAAACCTTCCTAACAGACTACCTATTGGTCATCTAATTGAATTAACTATCAAGTCGAGCATTTGTGGGTATGGGGTTTTTCCCTACCCATTGCCATCTTTACAGCTAATTTTAAGCAATAAGAATAACTCACATATGACGCAAGAAAAACTAATTAAGTAGGAAAATACATTCTTTTGTTAAATTAGGTTAAAAAACCGAGTGTTTTTTATTTGGGAGCGGTAGGGATAAAGAGATTAGTTTCAAATTTGTAGTTTAACAAATTTCTTATTTTTTCTAGTTAATTAGTCATTGACATGCTGGCACTCAAGTTATTAGTCCTAAATATTATGATCTAAAGTTAGCTGCTGTTTTGCTCTTTTATTTTCAAATTCAATTTAATGGCCACATAAGGGCACGTGGCTGAATTCCATCAGTAATTGAAAAAAACCCTTCAATTGTTCTTTATCTGCTTCAAATTGGATAAATCAAGGACCAGATTTGTTAATGTCGACACTTTACGGACTAAAATTGTGGAAATGCTAAAAATTGGGAGCCAAATTTATATTTTTAGGGACTAAAACTGAATATGCGCTAGACATTAGTAACCAAAACTGCATTTCTTCCACTTTAGAAAGCCAAACTTCCACTTGAAAAGCCCCTTAACCTTTCAACTTTAAATAGCAACAACGTTTCTAAAGTATAAAACTTATATCAGGAAACATGAATCCAACACTAATCGTCTTGGAAAAGTTCGTAACTAGCTCAGATAAGCAAGTTGAGTTAGAAATCTGGGTTCACAATCCTAAAGCACCAATCTTAGATACATCACTGTTTTGGGAGTCATGGATCCTACACTTTCAAATATTTTCAGATTAAATTAAAATGTCCACCATCCAAAACGTTGATATTCCTCCTGCTTCATAAAGTACACAAATGTGTCTACTTCATGAGTTTTGTATTAGATGTCAGAAAGTAAAATATCTATGACAATCTCCATACAAAATATGAGAAAGATGATGGGAGACAATAACAAAAGAACGTAAATTTCTGAATTCTCGATGTGGATTGTAATTTAGGAGGAACATGGAGGATTTGGGAAGTAGGAAAGTGTTCAAAGTAATAGAAAGGCGGAGAATAGGACGCGAAGAGTATGGTGGAGAAATATTTCGTCTATGGATTAATTGGTTTGACCACGGCAGGAAATGTTTTGGCAGTATTCCTAACCCATACAAGTAAACAAACATAGGCCTTGTTTGCTTTAAATTTTTTCAAAATTTGATTACGAGAAGTGATTGATTAGAATTAGCAAAAGCAATTCTTTGTCTGATTTTGGATTTTAGGTCCTTTTTTTTAATTGTTCAGCTATTAAAAAATCTACATTCTGAATACAAAAATAAAAGAAAATACCAACAAACTGATTATTCAAAATTAGAATTTATAATCAACTAAAACAATTAACTGAGAGCACGTCCTTAGTTTTGTGGAACCTACTGAAAATGAATGGATCCTCTTTCTTTTCCCTTTTTATTTTTATTTTTTTGTATTTAATGATTGATAATGGTATCCTATAAATAGGGGAAGCCACAATACTTGCTTTCCGAAGTATAGAGAAGCAAATCATTGAGGATTGTTTTTTTTCCCAAACTTTTGCCATAGAGAAGCTAGAAAAGTAACTAATAAGATGGCGGCCAACCTGGAGATACTATCAATAGAGATGATTAAACCTTCATCACCAACGCCCCATCACCTTAGAAACCATAATATATCCTTACTAGATCAACTTGCACCGCCAATTTACATCCCACTCATTTTCTTCTATCAGCCTAGCCAGTTGCACACTTACAAAGATCATGCCCAAATTTCTCAGTTCCTCAAGCGTTCATTGTCCAATGTTTTGTCTAAATTTTATCCCTTAGCTGGAAGAATTTCCAGTAACAATGTTTCAATCGATTGCAACGACGCTGGTGCTTTGTTTGTTGAGGCTCAAGTTCATTCTAATCTCTTGCAGGTCACAGAAAAGCCTAGCACGGAGGACATGAAACAGTATCTGCCACTTGAGCTTAATGGTGGAGGCCTTCCCATGAACAAGGCTAACACTCTCCTTCTAGCTGTTCAAAGCAATCTCTTTGACTGTGGAGGCCTAGCCATTAGCGTACAAATATCACATATAATAGCCGATGGCATTACCTCAGTGACTTTCATCAATGCATGGGCTGCAAGCTGCCGCGAAGATGCCGAAATTCCTCAATGTAGTTTCGATTTGGCGAGTTTATTTCCACCAAGAGACTTGGCCAACTGCGATTTGACACCAACGACGGGTACCAAAAAGATTGCTACCAAACGTTTTGTGTTTGACAAGGAAAAGCTGGGAATACTCAAACAAGCTGCTGCTGCTGCTGCCTCTCCTGAATCACAAGTGAACGAATCTACGCGGGTGGAAGCCGTTTCAGCCTTTTTCTGGAAGCATTTCGTAGAGTTATCAAAATCCAGGGCAGATTCCAAGTCACACAAGATTGTTGCAGCTGCCAATCCTGTGAACCTGAGGCCTAGGATGAATCCTCCCCTGCCTGATCACGCCTTTGGGAACTTGTGGATCCATGCTCTCACAACTCTGACTGCCGAGGAAGACAAAGGGTATTCGAATCTGGCTCGTGTTTTGAGTAACACATTGAGGAACATCGATAGCAATTATGTGGAGCAACTACAGAGTGGAGATAAGCATTTAGGTACTCTGAAGAAAGCAGCGGAACTACTCTCCAAGGGTGAGCTAGAAGTTTGCATCACTAGTTGGTGTAGGTTTCCTGTGTATGAAGTGGATTATTGTGAGAACCCATAAATTTCTCATTTTCTAGGGTTTTTCTCGTTAATGGCATGTTTTCTGCATTTTCTTTATTAGGAAACTTTTTTCGATAATTTTTATGAGTAAATATAGTTTTTAGACGATTTTCTAGTATCGGTTAGGTTTTGAGAAATTAAGAGCGTATACCGTACGTGGGACCCGCTAGTGCGGAAAGTTCGGAAAAATTCGGCCAACTAGGTTAAGTTTTGGATACTGGGTTTAAATTATTGGGTGTTATGAGATAATTAGAGGTTGCTATTTGGATTGGTGTGAGAGGAAACAAAGAGATAGAGATGCATTAATTATAGTGACAAGTGTCACCATATGGTTAGTGGTTATTTTTGACTACTATTCATACTTTTACCCTTTTACTAAAATAACTCAAAAATTGACCAAAATTCACTCCAAATTTGCAAGCTCATAGCCGGCCCTCTCCAAGAAAGAAAGAAAGAGAACTCTTCAAGTTTTTGCTTCAATCTTGCTCAAATCTACCAAATCAACCACTTAATCTTGCTTTGGTTCCATAGAAAACCTTAAGTGAGTGATTGTGAGGTGTTTAGTGGAGTTGTTTGGAAGGCTAAGGTGATTAGTTGCTCCTTCTCTTGTGTTGCTAAGGTGACTAGTGAAGGAACCCCTCTCCTCCATCTAATGATGTTTAATTCATGATTTGTGGTAGTTTAAGATGTAATTTTATGGATTATATCTTGATTTTGGTTGAATTGGTGAAGTTTTATAATTATTGGTGATTTTTCTGTTTTCATATGATTATTATTATGTGGTCATGTATGATGATTGGAAATGATATTTAAGGAAGCTAGAAGGTGGAAAAAGTGGTGAATTGCAGGAAATTTCTGTTTTGGAAGGAAATTTGGAAAGCTAGGGTTTCATTTCCTTCATTCTGCCCGGCACTGTTCATCATGGTTAGAGGCCGAATTAGCCTTGGGTTAAAACATTAAAGTTGTAGGGAATGATATTTTAGAGATGCCTGCAAAATTTCAGGCCAATCGGAGTAGTGTAGCTTGTGAAAAGACTGAATTACCCCTGCTGCCCTGTTTCTACCCGAATTTGATAATTGCGTCTGTAATTGGTTATTTTGGTTGGGAATACTTCGGAATTGGTTGTTGAGGTCTTCTGATGAATTGTATCCGTGTATCTTATCTTTCGGATGGCTTTGGAATTACTTGATTTGGACTTAGGTAGCCTGACTTATGATGTTTGAACCAGAATGTGGTTTGTGAACCTGTTTTTGCGGTTCTGGTGTAGTATATTGCATTTTTGACCTGGTTACACTCGAAACTGGACAGAGTAGCCTTCTTCAACATTGTAGCCCTATCTCTTAGCTTCGAAACGGTGTATCTTGAACCTCCATCCGATAATCGTAGTGCCAATGGTACCAAAACCGCAAACTGATGTCAA